GGACGCCGCTTCACAGTGCAGATGGACAATGACCCAAAGCATACTGCAAAAGCAACCAAAGAGTTTAAGGGAAAGAAGTGGAATGTTATGCAATGGCCAAGTCAATCACCTGACCTGAATCCGATTGAGCATGCATTTCACTTGCTGAAGACAAAACTGAAGGGAAAATGCCCCAAGTACAAGCAGGAACTGAAGACAGTTGCCGTAGAGGCCTGGCAGAGCATCACCAGGGATGAAACCCAGCGTCTGGTGATGTCTATGCATTCCAGACTTCAGGCTGTAATTGACTGCAAAGGATTTGCAACCAAGTATTAAAAAGTGAAAGTTTGATTTATGATTATTTTTCTGTCCCATTACTTTTGGTCCCTTAACAAGTGGGAGGCACATATGCAAACTGTTGTAATTCCTACACCGTTCACCTGATTTGGATGTAAATACCCTCAAATTAAAGCTGACAGTCTGCAGTTAAAGCACATCTTGATCGTTTCATTTCAAATCCATTGTGGTGGTGTATAGAGCCAAAAATGTTGGAATTGTGTTGATGTCCAAATATTTATGGACCTGACTGTGTATGGGTAGTAGCACTATTACTCTGTCTTTGTTTGAACCATTTGACATTTCTCATTCTGCTACAAGCTCATGGGCACTCCAGTGACCATGAACCTATAGCAGGACTGTTCAGTGCACACTGAACAAAACAATAACTCTGATTAGCGGTCAGAGTTATCAACCTAAATGTGACCCCCCCCCCCTCCAACTGCTGCTTCCTGGCTATCACCTACCTCTTGCTCTCTCTCCACATCCCCTGCTGCATTGGCCACTAACCACCTCACCGTACACCTTACTCTATCACTGATCCCCCCCCCCCCCCAGCACCAGCTCCCCCCCCCACGAGCACTAATCTCGTTTGGCTTGATGCACTTGTCAGCTTCTCCTGCTGCCTCTCCCACTGCCAACTGCATCCAGCCACAGTGCACAAAATTTAAAAAAATCTCCAAATAATGCCCCCACTGTGACCCCACCCCACCCTCTTTAGTGTCCCCCCTCCTCACCGATCCCCGCAGCCCCGTTCATACATCGGTGAGTGTCAGGATGGAGAGTGGGGGCTGGTAAAACCTGTGTTTATCATTACCCATCACTCCTCTTCATTAATTAATGAAATATAGTAAACAGTGTGTTTACTATACATCAGTTTGTGAATGGATAGGAGTCTCTACAGACTCCTATCTCATTCACCTACAGTGTAGATGAAGCTGCAGAGAAAGGGACACATTAGGGGTCTGTTTAGACCCTTGATGTCTCTCCAAAGCCCCCCCCCCCCAATAAAATATGTAACAAAAAATATTTAAAAATAAAATTTTCTTTAAAAAAATACATTTAAAAAATTGTTAAAAAAAATAAAATAGAAAACATAGTAAGTTCAGGTCCACCAGTCAGTTTTTTAGGCAGACCCGATTGGACCCTCCATTATCCTCTATAGAGCGGTGGATGTAAGTGGACATATGTCAGTTTACACCGGCCTGCATCCGATCCACTAAAACCGATCTGTTCCCCATGTGTCTAGCAGATCGGATGGCGGTCAGATGTAAACGGACAGGTGGTCCATTTACATCCGACCACCTATAGAGGAGAGTGAGCTGTGTCAGCTCTGCAGAAGTGGAGTGGACACAGACCAGCCATGTGCTTGCTCAGCAGGGATCAGCAGACAGATTCCCCGCTGAGCAAGCAAACTCCTGCCGCAGTTCACCCCATGTGGAAGGGGCCCAAGGGTAGATTTAGACATGCGTCTAAACCTCCTCCACCTCTAAAGCCTGATCCACATTCAGATGATGCTCCAGAGGCTACTGACAGACAGTGAGGAAGCAATGCGCTGCTTCTTCTGCACCTGTTTAACCCCATTTGTGTCAACAGATGCACCGCAACCATGTGTATTACATACAGTTGCGGGGCATTTGCACTTCCCCATTGACTTGAATGTTTAGCAATGAGCGGGTGGCATCGCTCGGGTCAACTCTGCAGTGGGTGCAAAATGAAACATTGCAGCAGCAGCAGCAGCTTGTAAACACTCCCGTCCACTGCCTATTGCACCTTAAGGGGGGACGGTTGGCAGGTGGTAGAAGGGCACCTCAACAGCACATTTTTTCTGCCCCCCAACCGCAATTCTAAACAAGGCCTAAGGCCTTGTTCACGCAGGGAATACTATAGTGAGTCTGTGTTTAGCTGCACAGGAATGAACAGGTTTTCCCTGCATTCCCATGCAGGCAGTCCCATTCATGTCAATTGGGATGCAGCGGCTGCATGGACACAGCCACCGCTCCCAAATTAACATCAGCAGCATGTCCCATTCATGTCAATTGGGATGCAGCAGCTGCATGGACACAGCCACCGCTCCCAAATTAACATCAGCAGCATGTCCCATTCATGTCAATTGGGATGCAGCGGCTGCATGGACACAGCCACCGCTCCCAAATTAACATCAGCAGCATGTCCCATTCATGTCAATTGGGATGCAGCGGCTGCATGGACACAGCCACCGCTCCCAAATTAACATCAGCAGCATGTCCCATTCATGTCAATTGGGATGCAGCGGCTGCATGGACACAGCCACCGCTCCCAAATTAACATCAGCAGCATATCCCATTCATGTCAATTGGGATGCAGCGGCAGCATTGACACAGCCACCGCTCCCAAATTAACATCAGCAGCATATCCCATTCTTGTCAATTGGGATGCAGCGGCTGCATGGACATGCTCCCAACTTAACAACAGCATGTCCCTGAACTCACACTGTCTGAGTTTTGTGCCATGCACCTACACCCACACAGATGTCAGATCTGTCCTCATTGCTCTTGTGTAAACAAACCAATTTCACTTTCAGGCCTCAGTCACACCTAGAGTAGTGGAGTGCACGTTTTTTAGCTCATTTTTTTTCAGTGACACACATAGGGCAGTCCATTAATTTCAAACACTACATATGGCAAAGTAGCTCATAGGAGATTTTGGCGTGGTTGAGTTACACATTTTTTTACTGAGCGTTTTGCGGTGTTTGTCACCTGTTTTTTCATGTGGCAAAATGTGTGTTTGCTTCTGTGTTTGATGTGCCGTGAACAATTATGACACTGAAAGAGCAACTAGGTATTTTTAGGTGTATAAATATGGTCATACACCATACAATCTGATTGTACAATCTCCTTTAAATTTACCAAAATTATATAATAGGAAGGACACGCCATCTATCCAATCAGGCAGACTCTTTGCACTACATCAGGGGTGTTCCGTGGGCTGCAAGAGGCCCCAGGGAGTTTAGAATGCGGCCTGAGCCTGTCTGAAGGCACGCTGGGGAAGGCAGGCAAATGCATGCATGGAAGGATGCTGTGAAAAAATAGTTGGTGGGTAAAGGAGGTCAGGATGTGTGTGCTAATACGCAAGATCAGCTGGTAAATTCCTTCCTGTGCCTTACTGGCTTCTCTGTCCTACATCTACATACCAGCAAGCGATGAAGCTTTCTAAGAAACACAGTAAGGACTAAGGTACCGTATTTTCCAGCGTATAAAGCGACTGGGTGTATAAGACGACCCCCTAATTTTCCAGTCAAAACATAGGTTTTGGGCTATACTCATCGTATAAGACTACCCCCCCTTCTGAGGAAACACCATTTAACCCCTAGCCTATAGGGCACTTATACCCACTCCCCCCCCCCCCCCCCCCAGGCCAAGTTTCAGCTTTCAGCGCTGTCACACTTTGAATGACAATTGCGCGGTCATGCAACACTGTACCCATATGAAATAGGTGGCACTGATGGGCACTGATGAGGAGGCACTGGTAGGTGGCACTGATGGGCATTGACAGGCATCACTGATGGGCACTGAAAGGCAGTACTGATACATGGCACTGATAGGCAGCACTGACTGGCACTAATAGGTGGCACTTATTGGCAGCACTGATAGCTGGAACTGATTGGCATTGATAGGTGGCACTGACTGGCACTGATGGGTGACACTGAAAGGCAGCTCAGATGGGCACTGATATGTGGCATTGATGTGCACTGGTAAGCACTGATATGTGGCACTGATGTGCACTGGTAGGCACTGATAGGTGGCAATGATGTGGCACTGATGACACTGAGAGCTGGCACTGCTGGGGCTACACTGATCATCAGGGCACACTGATCATCAGTGCCCTGATGATCAGTGTACATGTCCCCTCCGCGGAAAGCCGATTACCGGCTCTCCTCTCCTCTGTCAGTGTGTCAGCTTGAGAGGAGAGAAATGCTGATAACCAGCATTTCCCTGTTTACATGTGATCAGCTGTGATTGGACACAGCTGATCACATGACCGAGCCGACATCTTCGGCTCTTTCCGTGATCGGTGATCCGCTGTGTCCGAGGGACACAGCGCATCGCCGCGCATGCGCGTAGAATGGGAGGACGTCATATGAGCCAATCACGGCAAGTGATGTATTCTATTAATGAATATAGAGCCTGCTCGGATTGGCTGCATCAGAGAGGCAGGCTGATGATGTCACAACTTCAGCCAATCCGAGCAGGCTCTGTATTCATTAATAGAATTCATCGCTCGCCGCGATTGGCTCAGTGTGGTACACTGTATGTAGCTGAAGCTACCGTACAGTATTACCGCACATCCAGCGGTTCTATACCCGGCGTATAAGACGACCCCCAATTGTTGGGGTATATTTTTAAGTAAAAAAAGTTGTCTCATACGCCGGAAAATACGGTAAGGTCTTTTTCTCAAAATCAAAGAAAGCGTTTATTTTTTCTGCAAGAGGTGCATTAATGGTATACTGCTACATAGAGGAACTGGATTTTATTTAACCGCCTCCCGCCCGCCATATAAGGAAATGACGGGCGCAAGGTGGTTCTCTCGTTCTGCGAGGATGTCACATGATGTCCTCCCACTCTAACCGTGCATGCGCAGCTCTGGGAGCGTGCAGCACTGTGATCAGTGGTGAGCTGTGTCCCTCGGACACAACGGATCACCGATCAACGGAAAGAGCCGAAGACGTCGGCTCGGTCATGTGATCAGCTGTGTCCAATAACAGCTGATCGCATGTAAATAAGGAAATGCCAGTTATCGGCATTTCTCTCCTCACGAGCTGTCACACTGACAGTTCATGAGGAGAGGAGAGCCGGTAATCGGCATTCCTCAGAGGGGACATGTACACTGATCATCAGGGCACTGATGATCAGTGTAGCCCCAGCAGTACTACCTGTCAGTGTCCATCAATGCCAGCTGTCAGTGCTCATCCATGCCACCTGCCAGTGCCCATCAATGCCACATATCAGTGCCTACCAGTGCACATCAATGCCACATATCAGTGCCCATCTGAGCTGCCTTTCAGTGCCACCTATCAGTGCCAGTCAATGCCACCTATCGATGCCAATCAGTGCCACCTATCAGTGCCACCTATCAGTGCCGCCTATCAGTGCGCATCAGTGAAAGAGAAAAATCACTTATTTACAAAATTTTATAACAGAAACTAAGAAAAAACTTTTTTTTTCTTCAAAAGTTTCAGTTGTTTTTGGTTTGTTTAGCAAAAAAAAATAAAAAAAAACCCATATATATACCCAAATAAATACCACCAAAAGAAAGCTTTGGCTCAAAAAATTTATAAAAATGTAATATGGGTACAGTGTTGCATGACCGCGCAATTGTCATTCAAAGTGTGAGCGCTGAAAGCTGAAAATTGACCCGGGCAGGAAGGGGGTATAAGTGTCCTGTAGGCAAGTGGTTAAAAAAAGGTGAATTATCCTTTAACCACTTGAGCTCCAGAGGATTTACCCCCCTTAATGACCAGGCCTCTTTTTGCTACTCGGCACTGCACTAATTCAACTGATAATTGCGCGGTCATGCAATGCTGTACCCAAACGAAATTTACATCCTTTTTTTCACACAAATAGAGCTTTATTTCGGTGTAATTTTATCACCTGTGCGCTTTTTATTTTTCACGCTATGAACAAAAAAATGCCAAAAATTAAAAAAAAAACAACAATATTTTTTACTTTCAGCTATAAAAAATATATAGTAAACTCAAAGTTAGTTATAAATTTAGGCCAAAATGTATTCTGCTACATGTTTTTGGTAAAAAAAATCCCAATAAGTGTATATTGATTGCTTTGTGTGAAAGTTATAGCGTCTACAAACTATGGTATAGATACTGCAATTTACGCCATTTTTTTTTGCTATACAGCGCTGCGCTAGTTTAACGAACAATTGTGTGGTCATGCAATACGGTACATAAATGAAATTTACATCCTTTTTTTCCCCACAAATTGAGCTTTCTTTCAGTGGTATTTGATCGCCTGTGCGGTTTTTATTTTTTGCGCTATAAAAAAAAAGGCTGACAATTTTGAGGAAAAAAAAAACAATATTTTGGACTTTTTGCTATAAAACATGTCCAGTAAAAAAAAAATGCAAAAATCAAATTTAGTCATAAATTTCTGCCAAAATGCATTCTGCGACATGTCTTTGCTAAAAAAAAAAAAAAAATCCCAATACGTGTAAATTAATTGGTTTACGTGAAAGTTATAGCGTTTACAAATGGCGGGAAAGATACTGGGATTTTTAGGGTTTTTTTTATACTAATAATGGCGGCGATCAGCGAATTATGGTGGCGATCAGGGACTTATGGCAGCGACCAGCGACTTATGGTGGGACTGCGGGATTGCGGGACTGTGGCAGACATTCTGACATTGGGGGTTACTGACATGGGGTCACTGACATCCCCAAAAACAATAATACAGTGATCAGTGCAAAAAAAAAAAACACTGACACTGTACTAATGGCAATGGGGAGGAAGGGGTTAACTTTATTTTGCAGGGAAGGGTTATAGGAGTGAGGGGAGTGTTTTACTAGGGGGTGGGGGTGTGTACTGAACGGGACAAGGCTGATCGAGAAAGAGAAACTGTTCTTTCTCGATCAGCTCATTCTCGAGCTGACAGGGAAGTGACAGACAGCACAGCTACTGCAGCTGTGCTCTCTGTCACTGTTTGCCGCCGATCGCCGGGACATAGCCGCTAAGGAGTGGTTGTGACCCGGCGACTGACATCTGCGACGGTGATCCGCGGGACAGATAGGGCGGCGGAGCGCCTCGCGTGCGCCCCCTATTTGTTTACAAAACACACGTTTTAAAATGTGGTTTTGCCTGCGAGTGCCGCCTTGCCGCCGTATATATGTACAGTGGCTGGGCGGCATGTAGTTAAGTGGCTTGTTAGTGTGAAATGCAGTAGGAGGGGATAACACAAGACCATTGGTGTAGGGGGAGCAGACATAATAAATGTAGCCTGACCCTAAGTCATTCTTCTGACAATTTTTTTTGTTAACCTAATACAGATATTCTCTTTTAATTTCATAACCGTGGCTATCCATGGCTAGATTTAATAGCACGGATCGTTTTGACATTTTGCAAATTAGAATTTTTTTTTGGCACGTTATCCCACTGATCATAAACAGCGATATTTTGATATTTTCCTGCAGCAACAAACAGGCTGAAGAAAGGTGATTTTTATTGAAACGTTTATGTCTCGCACTTTTCAAGTTATTAAAACGTCGCCTTTTTATAAGGGAATAAATTGTTCTGCTTGTTCGGCAGAGTTTTGACATTTCGCTATTGAAATTAAATACACAATGCCATGAAAATGAAATAGAGTTCGATAAAACACTCCATTAGAAATTACAGCCAGGCTCGACTATTGCATATGAATATATTACCGGGAGATGAAAATTGGCTTTCGAAAAGTTTGTCGCAATCTCCCATCTTGTAACGTTAATAAAGGCGAAAGTTCTTGCTATATAATATGGAATTAATCCTGTGCAGCCTGCAAAGAATTCACATGCTTTGGATTTTTTCCAATATCATTTAAGATGAAAGCAAAATATCCTGTTATGAAATATATGTCAAGGGCATTGCCAACTAAGACTTTGGAGACATAAGCTGAAGTCTTTCCTGACAGGATAAATGGTTGGCTTGCACTGTTCTTTACACAAAAAGTAAACGTGAACATTTCATAGCTTGAAGCAAAGGAGGTGTTCAAGGTATTATCTTCAGTTTGAAAATGACATCGCTTTACTATTATTATAATAATTGCAGACTACTTTAATAAGATAATAAAATAAATGGCGTTTAATTTTTGTTTGATATTTTCATAAAATTTAATCAACTTGATTAAACCCAACTCCAGACATTTATTTTTATTGAATAGAGAAAGGAAGGTTTAGAACTTCTGTTTGGGTTTAAAGCTGAACTCAGGGAAAATATAAAAGACACAAATGATTACTGTTCTATATTTAACCATTGCCTACTGGGCACTTTTACCCCCTTCCTGCCCAGGCCAATTTTCAGCTTTCAGTGCTGTCACACTTTGAATGACAATTGCGCGGTCATGCAACACTGTACCCTAACAAAATTGTTATCTTTTTTGAGACATATAGAGCTTTCTTTTGGTGGTATTTACCACCACTGACTGGGTTTTTTTTATTTTTTGCTAAACAAATTAAAAAAGACTGAACATTTTGAAAAAAAAAAATTCTCTAAGTTTCTGTTATAAAATTTTGTAAATAAGTATTTTTTCTCCTTCACTGATGTGCGCTAATGAGGCTGCAGTGATGGGCACTGATAGGCTGCACTGATGAGGAGACACTGGTAGGTGGCACTGATGGGCATTGACAGGTATCCCTTGTGGGCATTGACATGCATCACTGATGGACACTGAAAGGCAGCACCCATATATGGCACTGATAGGTGGCACTGATAGGCAGCACTGATTGGAACTTTTTGGCGGCACTGACTGGCAATGATAGACAGCACTGATTGGAACTGTTTGGCGGCACTGATGGGCAATGATAGGAGGCACTGACGGGCACTGATAGGCGACACCGATTGGCACTGATAGGCGGCACTGACTGGCAGCACTGACTGCCACTGATAGGGCAGCACTGACTGGCACTGTTAGGCAGCACTGATGGGAGGCACTGATAGGCGACACTGATTGGCACTGATAGGCGGCACTGACTGCACTGTTAGGCAGCACTGATTGGAACTGTTAGGCAGCACTGATGTGAGGCACTGACGGGCACTGATAGGCGGCACTGACTGGCACTGATAGGCGGCACTGACGGGCAAAATTAGGAGGCACTGACGGGCACTGATAGGTGACGCTGGCACTGATAGGCAGCACTGGCTGGCACTGTTAGGCAGCACTGATTGGAACTGTTAGGCAGCACTGATGGGAGGCACTGACAGGCACTGATAGGCGACACTGGCACTGATAGGCGGCACTGACTGACACTGATAGGCGGCACTGACTGGCACTGATAGGCGGCACTGACTGGCACTGATAGGCAGCACAGACTGGAACTGTTAGGCAGCACTGATGGGAGGCACTGATAGGCACTGATAGGCGACACTGGCACTGATAGGCATGGCACTGACTGACACTGATAGGCGGCACTGACTGGCACTGATAGGCAGCACTGACTGGCACTGATAGGCAGCACAGACTGGAGCTGTTAGGCAGCACTGATGGGAGGCACTGATAGGCAACACTGATTGGCAGCAATGATAGGCATCACTGACTGGCACTAATAGGTGGCACTGAAAGGCAGCTCTGATGGGCACTGATACGTGGCATTGATGTGCACTGGTATGTGCCATTGATGGGCACTGACAGGTGTAAATGATGGGGCTACACTGATTATCAGGGCACGGATCATAAGTGCCCTGATAATCAGTGTATATGTCCCCTCACAGGAATGCTACTTACCGGCTCTCCTCTACTCACGCACTGTCAGTGTGAGGAAAGGACTGCCGATAACCGGCATTTCCTTGTTTACATGCGATCAGCTGTGATTGGACACATGACAGAGCCGACGTCATCGGCTTTTTACTGTGATCGGTGATCTGCTGTGTCCCAGGGACACAGCGCACCACCGATCGCTATGCCGTGCGCCCCCGGGGGGCGCGCGCATGCGCAGTTAAAGTGGGAGGACGTCCTGGAAGGACAGAAGCGCCGCCTTCCCGTCATTTCCTTATATGGCAGGTGGTAGGCGGTTAATAATGCATCATTAAATCTATTTTTATAAATGCAAGCCATGTAAGGACCTGAACCTGGTTTCAGCTTTTTGCAATCCCTGCACAGTAGAGCTCAGACTGGAAGACGTAGCACAAGGAGGTGGTTAGGTGTGATGCAGTGCTGATATGTGACAAGGAACATGTTGATGACAAGAGAGAGCAGAGTGACGGAGAGATGTGCTCAGTCTGCTGCTTCTCCTTTGCAGTTCAATCACAGGTTGGGAGAGGGGCACAGATTCTACTCCAGCCTAACCTTAAAGTAATATTAACACCCCGGTCACATCAGGTGCGACTTGGCATGAGATATGCATGCCATGCAAATCGTATGCCAAGTTGCACCCTATTG